CCAGGAACTGGACAAATTTGGAGAGGCCTGTGAAGGGATGGCATGTTGGAGAACCCACACTCTATTCCAGGAGAGAAATCTCTACAGTGTGCTGACCTCAATCTGCACTGAGGCAGGAAAATGAACCATTTAGTGGAATGCAGATTTGGGGCCAACAGCAGAAGAACTGTCTAAATGTGCATGGGTGGAGATTTGCCACACAGAACCACTGTTACAGTGAACATTTAAGATATTTAACTGGAAACAACTCAAAAGGAAACAGCTGTGGTGTCGCCTAGTGGCCAGAGTCAGGATTTTCCCTCTGAGAGTCTGAACAGCTTACTCTGTAGTCTGGAAAGTGAGACCAAGACTAGGAACTTGAAGGGATGGAATCAGTCTGAGTTATGAATATTTTAATCACTGGATGTGATCACTTTATGTTTATCCATTCCTAAGATATCTAACTGAAACCGATAATCCCGAGCACTTCTGCAATGAGAGAAAAACTGCATCTGGGAATATATAATGCTAGAGGAGACACAATCACTTCTTTACCCACATTGGACACATACACTAACAAAACATCACTTTATCCATTTTGTTCCTCCATTATATTGAATACAATGCATGCTTTTCCAAAGATCTGTATATCCAAAATACTTGTGTTAATCTGCTCACAATTATCTTCTGTGATTTTTTTTAATTATGAAATTCTTGTTTTCACTGCAAAATTTAAAAACTAGAGAAAATGATGTTATAGAGGGAAATCATTTTTTCAGTGGTCCAGTGTTCTCGTGAGTCAAAGGTGTCTCTTGCTCATAGAATAGTACATACTCTTCTGATACATTACTGCATCCCACAATCATTATATCTTCCCACATACACACACTATTTTCCACTAGTAGAACTACAGGATCTTCCACTGAAGCTATTCTTTTCCATTTAATACTCATGATTTCTCAGTAACTCATGAGTGCTTGTGTTTTGACATATTAAAAATATGTTGTATGAAGTGCTAAATGAAATCACTACCTATCCTCATTAGTAAGTGATCTCACAGATAATAGATAATAACCCAGTATTTAGGATTCACCTGCAAATGTTTCTCCCTGGTGTTGACAAAACTCAGTGTTTTTATAGTTAGAATGTAATTTTTTAAGAAAACTTTTTCTTTATTCTTTGTGGCTTTCACAACATGTATCTCCATCCCATTCATCTCTGTGCCTTCGTATCTGCCCTCTGCCCTTGCAACCATCCCCACTAAAATAAAATAAAACAAAATTTAAGAGAAAAGGAGAAAGAAAAATGGAGAAAAAAATCTCGTGGTGGAACCTGTAGTGTGATTCAGTGAGTCACACAGTATATACTTGTGTCCATATATCTTTACTTGCAAGAGTTCATTGCAAGGAGTCATTGATCTAGTTCAAGGCCTCTGCTACACTATCAATGCTGAGCCCTCATGGGGCTCTGTTTGGATATCCTCACTCTGTGTCATGGAGATACTGCAGCTTTGGATCTGCGGGTCTGACTCTTTCATGTGCTCCAGAAGAATACAGATGGGTGGATGTTGGCGTGGGCCAAGTCACAGCTCTGGTTCTGGGTTTGGCGGTTGCCGGGTTGATCAGCCTGCCAGCTCTCCCTTGTCCTCACCACCAGGGTGAGCTCTCTGGCATTGCCCCAGCTAGTTCACCCTATGCAGGAAGGAGTGAGGGGCAGGACCAGTTCTCCCGCTTTCATGCCCCCAGGGTTGGCTCTCTCACACCTCCACCACCAGGGCCAGCTCTACTGCATTACCCAGGCAGGTGCAGGGGCACCCTCCCTAGTGTTACAGCTGTTGAGGGGCAGGGCCAGCCCTCCTGCTCTTATGACCTCAGGGCCAGCTCCCCTGCTGCCATAGGTGGTGAGGGGCAGGGTGGAGGGGAAGGCATCTCTGTCTCTCACCTACCATCTTATGGCAGATGAGGGATGGGGCTAGATCTCCCGTGATCATGTTCTTGGGGCGTCTCACCAATGCCCCTGTCAACAGGGTCAGCTCTACCGTGCTGCCCAGGCGAGGTGCAGGGTCAAAATCATCCCACAAAATAGTAGGTTTCATTATGGAATTTTCATAAACTTACTTTTAATTTTACAGGAAATCACAGTTAAGAGACTATGATTTTAAAGAGATCTTGGACTATTAATGTACTGAAAAAAATAAAGGCTGTGGTATTTTTAAGGTCATACTCTTTTATATTGTGATAATAACATGAGCTATTGGGGATAAACAAGGAAAGGTTATAGTTCAGTTGTTATGTTTGTGTGGCAAGTTGACAGGGTCAACTCCACTGGTTAGTTTTTTGTCAAATTGACACAAATTAAAGGCATGGAGGAAGAGGGAACCATAGATGAAGGACTGTCTCCATCAGATTGACTTATAGGCAAGTCTGTGAGGCATTTTCTTGATTAATGGTTGATGAGGTAGGGCCCAGACCAGTGTGGACAGTGCCTCCTGAGCAACTGGTCCTGGGTTGTATAAAACAGGTAGCTCAGCAAGTCACAGAAAGCCACTAAGCACCTTTTCTGTCTCTGCTCCTGTTCAAGTTCCTGCCCCAACTTCCCCAATGATGGACTGAGATTGAGACATGTAAGTCAAACATACCTTTTCCTCCCTCAGTTGCTTTTGGACAGTGTTTTTACCACAGCCATGTAGAAGCAACATAATACACTCCCTTTGGTTATTTTTCAAATCTATTGAAAACAAAGTATTGAGAGCACTTTCTTACACTAGGAATTTCCAAGAATATCCTTCACATTGTCAATATGACAATAATGAGTTCCAAATTCTCTCTTCCTTGTAGGGTCTAGTTTTCACCTCAGGGTGCAGTGTCTCTGACAGAAACATGGCACCCAAGGAAGGATGGAGGAAAGAGAGAAAATATGCCAATCTTGATGGAGTTGCCTCTTCCCCAGTATTCTGCCACTGTTAACACACTGGTCAGACTGTACTTCTGAGACCACGTGATCCCAGCTTATTCAGAGAATATATAGTAAGAGCCATATGGAAAAAAACAAAAAGGAAAGTTCAAAGAAACAGGTTAACCTAATTTTAATATTTTATTTAATACAAAGTGCCAAAAACTCCACAATTTTTAACTTGGAAACAATATAAGTAAATCGCTCATTACACTGGCATATTAGTAGGTCTTTGAAATTTTGTGCATTATATGATTACAAGCATTATGGAAAATATGAACAAATTTGAAATGTTGTATTCAAAAGAAATATGACACGTTAATTTCAGTATATTTTAACATGCTTTTTCTTACTAACTTGGAAATACAATGTTACCAACAAAAAATTAATAAAAAATAAATGTTAACTGTCTTGCCAGTATTCTTATTATAATAATGCCTATAAAATATAGTTTGATATATATACCAGTATCACTACTAAAAACAAAATTCAATTACTGTTATCTGTGGTCAGACTGAAACCGAGCATGACCTCACTTAAAAAAGAAAACAATATAAAGATCTAAGCCATTGCTTTTACTAATTTATTTCAGTAAGAAAACATTATGTGTAAATGATTACTTAGAGTCTACACTATTTGTTAGTCAGTCAGTGAAATGTAGTCATTTTGGCATTTCAACAGGTGGAAGGAACAAATCCTAATCTTCTATCTTTACCATGTCTTTGTGATACAGTATGCCGTTTCAAGAAATTAACACTACGAGTAAGATATTTTTAAGAGTCCATGTTCATGTGTGGGAGGAGGTGCATGTACTTGCTTCTCTCTCTCTCTCTCTCTCTCTCTCTCTCTCTCTCTCTCTCTCTCTCTCTCTCTGTGTGTGTGTGTGTGTGTGTGTGTGTGTGCACTCACGCACATGCACACTTGCATGAAAAAAGTCAGTATCTGTTTTTTTTTCTTCTACACATATTTTCTGAGGCAGGATCTCTCACTGAACCTCGAATCCCTAATTTGCTAGAATGTCCGGCCACATGGCCCAAAGGCCCTTCCTTCCTCCACCTTTTCACACTGGAGTGACAAGTGTGCACTTGGATGCTCAGCTTTTTACACAAATGCTAGGTTCAGACTGAGCACAGGCGGGCTTGTGTGGTAAGCAACTGGACGACTGAGGCATTTCCTTAGCCCTGTGTAAATTATTAACTATAGACTTTACACACATCATTTCTAAGAAAGTCTAGGATATGCAAACTGAATTTATAATTATGTTATGTTATGGAGTATAAAATACGTTGGACTCAGTACTCACACATGGCTAGTATGTATCATACCAAATGGGACACAGCTAGTGGAAAAAGAATCAAAATATATAGGGAATTATTTATACAGCTAAGGAAATGACAGGATTAAAGGAATTGGGAGTAGAGTGAGAGAACTAAAGGAAGTAGGAGGAATATTATGGGAAGGAACCTAAATCCCACCTAAAATTCATGTGACAAAGGCTGGAGAGCCAGCTGAGGACTTCATGGGAAGTAGTGGAAACTTTAGAGCAGGCCTTCATCAAGGAAATATTATATTTATGTTCTTGAAGGTTCTATTGAAACCTCAAAGCCTCTGCTATCTTTCTTTCCTGGCCCTACTATTAAATCCTGATGGATTTCCAAAAGCAACCAAAACCAGTCTAAAGTAACTTAGGGGATGTAAACATTGTCTTCAAGAACCACTGCCCCTTCCACAAATATAGGCAGGAAAGTCTGTCATTGTTTTGATTTGTGTGATGTACCAATAAGCGAACCAAACAGTATGGGCACAGACAGAGCAAACTAGGACTTGATCATCCTGTATTATATGCAATGCACATCACTGTAGTTAGTAAAATGAAATATATCAATAGTAGACAAGTGATACACAGGAACTCTCAAAGTCCTCCATATTTTCTAAATTATTCTCTATAGGAATCAGTTACATACCTATATTCCCTAAGTGTAAATTCCTACAATGTAAAGAACCTTATATATTGTGTGTGTGGGTCCAGGAAATAACATTTAGTACTTAAATAGTACATATCGGGTTGAAACTGTGTTGGACTGTGAAATTTATTCTAAGTAAGTGATCCAGTTCATGTCAGCCCTCTCTGCAAGTGCTAGCATCACCTTCAACTGTAGTTGTACAATAGCAAGCTTCCTTTGGTCTATACTGCCCTGAAAAGGCCATATTTCATAGCAATGTACAGGGATGGGATAAATCACATATTTTAGATTCTTCAAGGGTGTTAAATTATTCATGATAGTCACAAGCATAGGCATTGTGATGGGGTTAGAAGCAAAGCAGAGGACACGGAGATGAGTACAACGAATCAGGGCAGGGATAAGAACAGAGATTGCAGTATCATTTATAAGGCAATGATTTATCTCTAGATGCCGAAGAGTGCCAGAGAGATTTACCAGAAGGGTTTGAAAAGGCTCAAAATCATCCCAATACATTGGGTTGTTGCTAAGATTCAGCAGCTTTAGCCGGAAGGTCTGAGGGGTCTGGGCCAGAAATCTGAAATCTCTGTATGAAAGATCACAGAATGTCAGATACAAGAAATTCAGACCAGGTGGCAGGACTCTGTAGGGAGAAAACAACAAAAAACTTCTGAAGAATGAAGATTGAATGAGGAAAACTATACCTTTATATCTAGAATAAACTACTTTTCACATGCATTATAATTGAGTATTAATGTGTTAATGTGTGCTTTAGATCACTAAATAGTTTTGTGACTCTGAGAATTTGTTTTAGACAGGATCTTTCTCTGTAGTCCTGGCTGTCCTGGAATTCACTATGGAGATTATACTGGCCTTGAATTCACAGAATCTGCCTGTCTTTGCCTCCTAAATGCTGAGATTAAAATCCCTTGCCACCACATCTGGCTGAAAGTTTTGTTTTCAACACTGAGATACAATTTCTTTTAATCTTAAGAATGGGTGCAGCACATTATAATAGATGGTTTTAAGAAATATTAACAGAAAAAACTGAAAGCACTTGATACTTACAACATTATCCATTGTATATTTCAGTTCACCTTTGTGGTGGGGAGGGATCAGAAAGAGCAGGCAACTGAAAATTCCCGTTGGTCAGTTTCTACATACCAACCTCTACTTTCATGGCCTATGCCTTGGGGATTACATATCAGTAAAGTGATCTGACATTGTGAACTATGGGCATCTATGATTAGGTGCATCAATGCTATAGCAAAAAGTCTTCCCCCATCTCAATCCCTGTTCCTCTTCATATCTAGAAGGCTAGTGTTTTTCACCTTTTATTTCTGCACTTGTCTGTACCTTGCTGGCTGCTTAATTTTTATAATTCTTTCTCCAGCTTCAAATTCCCAGAAGCAACCAAAAGGAAAGCATAAAAGCTTTTCAGGAGTTTAGGAATACCCAAGAATATTTTCTTTCCTGTCTCAACAAGTTTTCCAGGAAACCCAGGGCCCTGGCCCAAACTCTTACCTGAGTACTCTGTCCAGATGTCCTGTGAGACAGAATGAAGACAAGCTGACTTCCTTAAGGCTGTTCATACGTCGCAAGTGACTGAGGAAATTTTTAAAGAGTTTCCCACCCAGAGATCTAAAAGTGACTTTAGACAGACTGAGGCTCTCTAGGTGGTCCATCTGAGACAGGACATTTGTGATATCACTCAGCGAACCCATATCAATTGACAACTGACCAACACAGTTGAGATCAAGAAAACTCAGGGTGCATTTGCTGTCACATAGTTTATCAACTTGCAAATCTCGACAGCATACGTGCAAAGACCCTGAACTCTCCCTAATTTTACTTGTAAGAAAAACCAAAAATTCCTTTTCCACTAAGGAGCCATCTAGGGAAAGGTCCACTAGTAACTCTACAGGCCTGGGGAACTGAACCATGGACTCTGGATTTACGAAACCATGCTGCCCTTCTATTTTCAGGATAGAGCTGTCAGAATAAGCACACGAATGAAAACAGAAAGGTTCCTTGATGCTGACTTCATAGCATGTGGTACTATAGTCGTTGTCTTGCCTTAAATCTAGGATCCTCAGTTTAGGTCTCCTGGAGGGGTAGAGGAGAAAGAATAGTTGAGAAATAGCCAACAGTAATGATACTGAGTGGAATCAATGATGAAATCTAGGAACCAATTCTTTTATCCATGGCTAACATTCCTTGTACTAACTATCAACAAATCTTTCCCATGAAAATGAAGCCTCCTCCCCCCAATTCCTTATATACCTTAGATCCCCTGCAGTCTTAAAACTCCTGTCTTTCTCTTATGTAACACCTGTTACATAAACCCATCAATAGAACCCTCAGCAAACAGATTTCATAATTGACATTGAACACAATCATTAACAGATTTCATAATTAACATTGAATACAATCAGTCTTTAATGTGTTACCAAGTTTGCAGGCAACAGCCTCACCCATAAATCTTCAGCATTTCCTTGTTACTCCTTCTGGGAGAGTAGAAGGCTGTGGTATAACCACCTCTGTCTTTCCATGTTTCTATTATACAGTCTTACCTAGAAGCAGAGTTCCTTGAAGGACGCACTGGAAGATTCTCAATCATGGCTTTCAGGAGTTCATGTTGAGGCTCCTGTACAGTTAATGACCCAATGTGGAGACAGTGATAGGGCCACACTTTCACCATCTCAATCAATATATTCTTATGCCCACCCTCGAAGGCAGCAATGAACAGTGGAACAAAAAAGACTCTTGGCATATCCTCCAGAGCTTGGATTGCCACAGACTCATTTCTTAGCAGACTCTGTATAGCGAGATCCAACAGTGTCTTTGGGTTCTTTGTCTCCATCTTTGTGAACCTGAATCAGAAGGAGAAATATTTAGAAGTTCTAGTAAAAAAAAAAAACACAGTCTCTCCTTTGCAACCAGCGCCAGCAAAGTAGAAATTTAAAGAATAAATGAACCAGATAGCCAACACTAGATACATCTACTATAGACACAGATTAGAAAGTGACTTGTGAGTGTATAAAGGTGTGTGTGTGTGTGTGTGTGTGTGTGTGTGTGTGTGTGTGTCTGTGTGTATTACAATTCCCCTTTGCATGTATATATAGTATGTATGTGATAAAACACCATTAGAAATGGGTAGTAGGCCGGGCAGTGGTGGTATATGCCTTTAATTCCAGCACTCAGGAGGCAGGGGCAGGTGGATCTCTGTGAGTTCGAGGCCAGCCTGTTCTACAGAGCAAGTTCCAGGATAGGCTCCAAAGATACACAAAGAACCTTGTCTACAAAAAGAAAGAAAGAAAGAAAAGAAATGGGTAGTAAGTAAGCAGAAAACAATTTTGGTCACTTAGCTACATGACTTCCAGTATTTTCCCTCAATAGTATATAAGCTATGATGAAGAAAAAGATAAATGTACAAAAAAGTGGTACAATAGAAAATATTAAAACACCAAATTAATTGTGATTAAAGAGAAAAAGAATGACATTCCAGCCCTTGATTTGTCTCACTCCTCTCACTGTATTTGTGGCGGACGAAGACACCAAAATGGCACAAGACAGAAACAAAGGAAGATGGTTAAGAAAACTTAAAGTTGATCGTAAGCATATTCGGAAAATCTAGTGAATTCAGCCTAAAGATGAAAAAGAAAACATAAAATCAAAAGAATGCAGTACAGTTTAGGGCAAAGACTTCAAAACTGTTCCCTTCAAAGCTGTATGTTGTCTCACATGTGGAAAGTAAGAGATAGTCAATCTGATAATGGAATACTGACTTCTGGGGTCTGGCGTCGGTGCCAGGGTTGGGGGGGCAAAGCACAGTTGGATACGATTCATGTAAGCTAGAGGTTGGTATATAGACACATCACAATGAGTCTCATCAAGATGTATTATGAATATGTGTTATAAACAATGAATATCAAAGGCGTATCAAATAAGTGATAATGAGCTTAGTTTAAAACTGCAATCTTAAAAGACACAGACTGTGGGAAGAATACATTGATGTGGTTAGGAGAAACATTCAAGAAAATTTGTTAATGGTGGGAAAAGAAAAAAAAATGAGGGGGGTTAAGAATCTTGTAACACATGAAAGAGTCAGAAAGCTCCTAAGTTTTTCTTCTACTTCGGGAACAACAACAAACCCTCTAAAAGACCTTCACAACACTGATAAACAGAAAATAGCATGATTAAATTAGATAGCTTTGAAAACAATATGAATAAGCCAAATAAAGAAAATTTCCAGGCAAAAACATTAAAACCATAAGAAAACAAAATTAATGTTGCTCATCACCTACCTAATACGGTACTTTGCTACAGCATCTCACACACATTATGGCACTGTCCTTGGATAAATGACTTGATGACTAAGATAAAATTATCATACTTAAGAACAAAGAAGTGGTACATTTTCTTGAGGCTTCCAGGATTTCTATCTCAGGAACACATCATTCATGCAGTCCTAAAACATGTTCCATGCTCTTCAAATGATGGTCTTCTGTTGTAGCTCAAGGTGTAAGAGAGTTTAAGTACATCCTCTCTGTGAAGAACTTTCTTTTGTGTGAAAAAAAAGTCAAACAGTCTTGAAAGAAAGGGACTGGGCCGTCTCATGGAACAAAGCAGCTGATTTCACACATTGTTTCAAATGTTAGTGAAATGTACTCAAGAAGTTGCTGTTTGTGCTCTATTACAAGGTCATCATGTTCTGTTCCTAGGAATATCTGTGAATATTCCAGTATTTTGGTTCAAAATTCAGTTGTGGATGTGCCTGATATGATTGAATAAGGACTCCAGACTCCATTATAAGGGTTGTGGAGCAATGCTATTTAAATTTGACTATTCCCTGACAAACTCAACATTAAAAAAAGTTCTCCATAAGCTGATGTATAAGTTTAATTCAATTTCAAAAATATCTACATTTTACTGAGTTAGACAGTCTGATGGTAAAGTTCATATGTGAAAGAATACTCAAGAATAGCTAAGAAGAGAGAAGGAAGACACTTGAGAAGGGACTCCTGACACCATACCAAGAAAATGAAAAATTTCTAGAGAATTTCTGTAATTACAGTGTCTTATCACTGCTAGAAAAACAGACAAATAGCTGAATGAAATAGGTTATATGCTTAGAAATAGAAGCCAACATGGATGGTCATCAGTGTTTAATGAATTGTTGAAAAGATGGCATGGCAGTTAAGAACACTGATTGATCTCCCAGTGGGCATGGATTCAATTCCCAGTCCTGGAAACCATCCATAACTCCAGTTCCAGAGGATCTGATGCTCTCTTTTGGCTACTATGGGCACTGTACAAACGTGCTACACAGATATATAGGCAGGCAAAAAACCCATACACATAAATCATAATTAAAATAAAAAACAAAGGTGACCTGGAGAAGCCACTGAATAAAAGATAGACATGCAATGTACGGAGTGAGACATGATTTAAAAGAAAAAAAAACTTAAAGTAGATCCATGAAACATACCGTGTATAGAGTAACTAAAAATTGAGTTAAAGATTTAAAAGAAAAAAAACACTTAAATTAGATCTATGAAAAATGTTACATAGAGATAAACTAAAAATTGAGTTAAAGATTTAAAAGAAAGAAACTTAAAGCAGATCCATGAAACATGTCATGTATAGAGTAACTAAAAATTGAGTTAAAAATTTAAGCAAAGAGTGGGATCATACAGCTTACTATAAGAAAGGTATTTCTAAATGTCACTCAAATTCTAGAGGTAAAGAAAGGAAGCAATAAGTGATCTGACCAAATTAAAATCCAAGAAATTAAAATTATCAAATACAAGCATTTCAAAAAAGAACTTACAGACTAAAATGATATAATAGTAAAACATCACAGACAAGTGGAAACTATGCCTCCTATATAAAGAGCTCAAAAACTGAGGAAGAAAAGACCAAAAAAAGGTATGAAAATAAAGAAAAGATATGAACTAACAGTTCACACAAAAATGACAAGAGATCAAACAAATAATAAATGCCAAAATTTAATGAAAATGAGATGTATGTAGTATATTAAAATAACACTGAGTTATAGCTCAGTCTCTGGGAACATACAGGCAAAATTATAAAGTGATAGTGTTCTATTATTAGTGAAACTGTGAGGAATAAAATTTTAAATATCTTATAAAGATCTACTCCTATAAACACAGACCCAAGGACATTCAGTGAAGCATTATATATAATTCCAAGATATAAACAATTAAAAACCTCACACAGAGGTAGATTAAAAATGGTATGGAATAGCCATACAAATGTGTCTGATGAAAGTGTGAAAAAGAACAATGAAAATCTCCTAAGAAATGTTAAGGAGGCATTTCAAGAAATGCTATTAGCTTGGAACACTCGGTCCTAAATGGGGTATCTCCTTCAACTCCCTTCCCACAGGGCATCAGGGAACTCTCCAAAAGAGGAGGCAGAAAGATTATGAGCCACTGGGGATGGAAGACTCCAAGGAAACAAGGCCTTCTAGACACAACAGCAATTATGCCCTTATGAACTCACAGAGACTGGGGAAATATGTGCAGGGTCTGCAGAAGGGGACACAAGCCCATTCCTAACTCAGAAGTTATTTCTAAATGATAACAACTCGAAAAGAAAAAAATAGTTTTCTCCAAGAGTTTCACTGGATATATAAACCAGATTTAAGAGCAGCCTCTATGCCTAGCAGTAGATGGTTAACACAAAATGAACTCAATGAATGGTATTTTTGGAGTTTGGGGTTTTTTTTTCTTTTTTAGTCTAATAACACACTGCTGTGGATATCGCTCTATATAAACAAACACTGATTGGCCAATAGCCACACAGGAAGTATAGGCAGTACTAACAGAGAGGAGAATTGAGGAAGGAGGAAGGAAAGGGGAGACTGCCTGGAGCCGCCGCCAGGACAAGGAAGATGCAAAGTACTGGTAAGCCATGAGCCACGTGGCAAAGTAATGATTAATAGAAATGGGCTAAATATAAGAGTAAGAGCGAGACAATGACAGGCCTGAGCTAATGGCCAAGCAGTTTAAATAATACAAACATCTGTATGTTTATTTTATAAGTGGGCTCCGGGACTGGCGGGACTTGGTGGGAGCTGGAGAGAAATTCTCCCGCTACAACGTACTGTCTGTGTATTTTTTAAAACCTTACAGGTCTTTTGCTTACATATTACAGTTTTAGTGTTGTGGGATAATCTTTTTGTACACTGTGAAGATGTGTCTTTTCCAAGGCATCTTCTGTTTGGTTTAACAAAGAACTGAATAGCCAATAGCTAGGCAGGAGAAGATAGGCAGGACTTCCCACCAGAGATAGGAACTCTGGGAAGAAGAGAGTCAGAATTTGCCAGCGAGACACAGAAGTCAGACAAACAGTGTGGAGGAGAGGTGACGATTCATGTGGCAGAATGCAGATTAATATAAATGGGTTAGTTTAAGTTTTGAGAACTAGTTGGGAACAAGTCTAAGCTAAGGCCAAGCTCTCATAATTAATAGGAACTCTCCATGTCATTATTTGGGGGCTGGCGGTCCAAAGAAATTCTGACTACACTTCAGATTTTTGTTTTTATGGGTTTTCTCTGCGTGTGAATGTGTGTCTCTCTTGTGCTTTTTCTACTTTTCTTTTTCCTGTTTGTCTGTTTGCATTGTCCTATTCTGGTTTGTTTTTATTCTATCTTAGTTTATATTATTTTGTTAATCTTATATGTTTGTTTCTAATGAGAGAGAGATAGAAAAGTAACAGATTTGAGTGAATGCAGAGGTGGGAGGATCTGGGGGAGGGGAAACTATAATCTGAATACATTGTATGAAAAAAAATCTATTTTCAATAAAGAAAGAAATGCTCTTAAATGAAAAACAG